AGCCACCTGGTCAATGTACAAGATCATAATTATAGGAGACAACCCAAACCCGATGACAATGTCCACTTTGGGACCATCATACTGTAGGACATCTTTGTATCATTTTATTACTTCTGAAATATTTACAGTGCATTTATGCAATCTTCCACATTGCTAAGGAACTGCTGTTGGGCATTGAAAGTGGTGTCAGTGCCAATGATCCGTGTCTCCGTGTCTGCACCTGTGCCTCTAACAGATTGACTATGTCTGAATGCTATCATTTATATGTTCACCTACAGATCAATACCCTAATACTAGTGTAGTAAATGAATGTGTGTTTTAATTCGTGATAGGTGCCAATTTACCTCTAGCTAATGATTTGAGAATCTTCAAACTCATCACAGATTCGTCCAAGTGCTCATTTGTCATATGACTTATCGGTAGTGAAGGAGAAAGGACAACTTTGTTAAGGGTTCTGTTGCCAAGATGTGATCCGGGACAAACACTCCCGACCCTGATGTTGTTGTTCAGCTGGTTTTGCCAGAACTGTATAAGGTTGTTGTACCATGCCCCTGCCACTTTACTGGAGAGAAAGTTTGGTAGCTGATATTTCCTAAACTTGTTTCAGCTTTGAATGAGCCATTTTGCAACAGTGTGTGTCTCACACCTTGATGCTGAGATAGACTTTGAGATAGAAGTTGCTATGACGGCGCAAAAGTCACAACTGAAATAGAGTGGTGTAAACTTCAAAGAAAAAACAACACAAAGGTTAACCAAGTTTTGAAGTTACAAGCAACTTTTTTAAATAAGTAAAATTTGTTAGAGCCTTTCCTCTAACTGTGCTATTACATTTGAATGAGTATAGGGTTTGTTGGCTGATGAGAGAGATGAAAGACAATGTGTATTCAGGGATTACCACGACTCTTTAGCCAGCTTTATTGTAAACTTGTTTTGAATAAGGCCACCAACAGTAACTCCATACAAAATGTCACTTTAAAGTCGCAAAATTCTACTGGATGATTTGCCTGCTCAGTCACCCATAACTTTATCCGAGTCCTGAAGGAATGACCATGCCATGAACCACTACTCTGGGTCTACACGTACACGCTAGCAGTAGTGTGACAGTCAATGCCTTACATATGTTGTAAATGCTTTATTCACAACATATTGATAATATTTCTGTTCATATAATAAACTAGTGGTGGATCTGAACGGCTATTGGCGCCCATATTGCCTGCAGCTCAGAGCGAGAATGCAAACATTGCTAGACTATTGGTGCATTACGCAGTGCTTATCGTAGAAAAATTCATAATATTATTCCTTTACACTCACTGTAACCGTCATTGGTGACTATGCCAGTCCGTGACGAATTTAAACATGACAGGCCACCTCTGACCTCACCAAGCAGCACATTTAGCGAAAATGCGGTCATTGTATTTATCATAACTATGAATATACTGGGGCCATGATCTCGCCGGAATGAATGCTACAACAGACACGTACAACTAATTCACGCCGCCACCCCCCCATCTCTGCCGAAATTTCCTTTCATGATTTAACCCGAAGGGAAGCACTTATTGCAAATCACAGTGTGGGCACGTGTCGCCCTTTGGGGGTTGTAATATTTAGCTGTTTACCCGACTTTTAGTACTTTTATTGATGAGTCCGGGTGATGAGTAGATTCAACCTATAACTGAATAAATTTAGTGAC